ACTAGCAGACATACTCAATTAGCAAAAAAAAGTCTAGTCAGGTCCCACTGACTGGGAATCTTAAGCAGCTCAATTATTTAATGCTGACTGACCATTGGAAGAGAGATTTTGAAATGTGTCCCTTACAGTCATGTGCGACGGTCAAAATGGCAATGTGTACAACCCAATGCGCAAATGTAAGTGGTGAGCTAATGTGCCTATGAAATATGAGGCCACTTCAATTGCATATCTTATTTCCTTATTTTGTTCTGGATGCTTCCCTTTGTGTTCTGAAGATGTCTCCTGCCCCAGCAATACACCTCCAAGCTACCTCCTTTTCCCAGGTAAATCTATCCCAAGATCCTACTTCTAGGAATCCTGTTGGAAAGAGATATATATCCTCATTACATCCCGAGTGGTGTAAACCAAAGAAAATAAAGTAATAGGAGTAAAGAACCAACAGGAAAATTCAAACTCTGCTGAGCCCTGGGCTGCTCAAGCACACTAGTGCCTTCTTGTCTGTCTTAAATACTGTAAAGTCTCACGGCAGGATCACCTTTACATTGATAAAAATATCAAACCTGTCATTATCATTAAACAAATGACAGCCTGTCTGCAAGGGTTAGCCTTTTGCTGGAATGAAACTGCATGACATATTTGGATACAGAGCACATGCAGATCCTGCTAAGCCTTTCCTGCACTGGTAACACATAATCTCTCCCAGCACTGGAGTGCAGCTCAGTGCTTGAGAGCGTGAAGGGGCTTGGAGAGGACCTCTCATTCCCTCCTCTGGAAGGAGAGGAGATCCGAGCCTTCCTCCCTCCCTCCCTGGCACTCAGAGACTGCATTGCCGCAAGGACCAACAGATGACACGGTCCTACACATCACTTTCCTGATTCAGCATCTGTGTATTTTCCTCCTCCAGCTGCAGATCAATGCACAGCACTATGTGCTGGGCTACAACACTCATGCCATGCACACAAGCCCTGTCGGCTCCCAAAACCATCAGCCCTAGCTCCACGTGTGTATTCCAGAAGGCAATATTATCTCAGGGATTAACTCCAGACCCGGGGTGAATTACCTGGCTCTCTAGAACAGCTCTCTTCAGAGCCACCTACAAAAACAAACAATGCAGTATTTCCTTAAAGGCTGAACGCTGTGTATACCAATGGGGAAATAAACCAAACAAGACCTGGTAAGACCGCAGCAGCATCACCTGCTGAGGATCACCACATTACAGTGAGGAAAAGTTCTGATTTCAACACGTTCAGTCAGATCTTTTCCTGGTCCCACTCGATGCCCTTTTGTGGCAAGACTCTGAAGCCACGTTTGCCGAGTTACTCAGTTCTGTCCCTGACACGCTCTGGGCACAATCCCAAACCGTCAAGAAGCAGATGTCCCTATCCAGGTTGCAAGCACTGAAGGTGAAAGTTTATTACCGTCTCTTTGCATTTCCCTTGATATAAACAGGAAACAACCAGCATTAGACTCACTAAATAAAAAGCCAAACCAGATAGGCAAGGCAGAAGATGCTTCTTTTTCCATACACACCCTTTTCCCTCTCATTCACATACAAATTACTGTTGCATCCAGGTGGGAGGAGAGTTTGAAGAGGGGAGGGGGGAAGAAATGTTTGCCAAATAGGTTGAGGGATCAGAAGGCAGCTTTCTCATAAAGCGCAGGGCTGACCCACAAACTGCAAGAAAACCTCAAACTCCGCAAGAGTTTCCCTCCTCCCCATTTTCAGGGTGAGAGCAGCCACAGCAGGGAATTGGTAGGCAAGTAAGGGGTCTAACCAGGTCACTCCACCCTTCTCTTCCCGCCTGGAGCATCATATGGGAGGGAAACAGACCTGAAATGTAGGCCATCTACAAAGACTGGGGGAGAGGCTTAAATGATGTGAGATTTATGATCTTCAAAGTGATTAGCGCCCAGCACTCCAAATAAAGTCAGAGAGCTCAGCAGCTCTTGCAGTCAGTTTGGAGTTAGGTTTCAAACCATACTTCTCTGGCTTCAGTTTGAAAACTTGAATTGCAAGGTAACAAAAAAAAAAAAGCCACCCAAAACCAACCTCAAACCCCAAACCAAAATTAAAAAACCCACCAACCTCCACCCCTAATGAAAGAGCTCAGCACCTGAATTTACATGAAAACACTTTGATATTTCCATATCTCCCTTCTTCCTTTTTCTCGTTATTTGAAATCTGTTTGCTGAATTGAAGATGAATTCACCAATAGCTGAGGTCAGCCTGAAACGTGAATGTATAACCCATGTGCATTTGGGCTCATGCTCATTTAAAATAAAAACAATAATGGCTCAAGTCTACGCATGGCCTTGCGAGGGCCAAGAGAGGGAGACAAAGAGCCATTTGCACACGCCTGTGTCCACTCACATGGACTGTTACAACCCCATCCCTGACATCGCTGCAAAACCCCTTCTGCGGACTCTACCTATGTTGTGGGGAATCGCACCAGATTAAAAAACAAACATTAAAACGAGCTTGTTCACAGGCTTTTGCTTTTTAAACCTTGCTAAGTCCCCAGTCAGGTTTGCTACTCAGTTACACAAACAGATAGGCTGGCACAAATGAAAGGGATTTCGCGGTACCCCTTTAGTGGAAGGAGAAAAACAAAAGTGGGAAGTGAATGTTACAAAAGACTGTCGTAAAACCACAATCTCTTTTTGGGAGGGAGATGTTTCTCTCAAGAAGACTCTGGCCCAAATCCTACTGACTTGAGGCTGTCTGCCCCTACAACTTTACCAGCATCCACTCATTCAGTGGCACGCAGAGGACTAGGACCTTAAAGGTAATGGGTCAAATCATCAGTGGGTGTAAATGAGCGCTGCTTCACCACAGTCAATAACATTTCCTTCATTAACCCCAGCCCGGCTTCCAGTTCTAACATCTTTGCAGTGTTGCCATAGGAAAAGTTTGCAACATGTAACGATCTTGTATTTTCATAGCTTATTTCTATCTTGAGGGAATTTTCTTTTATCACTAGTTATAAGCAGATTGGATTCTTCTTTTGGCGTGTAGAAAACCTGTGCTTTGGGCTCTGCAATCCACAGAGCTGGAGACACAAGACTTTTTGTTTTCAGCTGGGTATTCCAAAAACCTGGAAGATGGCTGAACGTGTTAAGACACCTTTGATAGGAAGTTACGACCCACCCAAAACCAGAGCAGCCAAACCAAACAAACAAACAGCAGCTTGCTGACATCTGTCAGACAAGAGCCACCAAGGCAAGCTTGAAGGACAGGAAAGTCACAGCGAGAAGCTTCAGCTGCCTATCTGCTGCTAGCAGGAAGCCTTTGCAAAGGATCGCAACCCTTGAACTCGGGGAATGCACGGTTGGAAGCAGGTAGGTTGCTGTACTGTCAAGAGTGCCAACATCTGCTTCAAATGCTAGTGACTGCCCGTGGAGTTACAGCCCCTTTTGCTTTCCTCGCTCCAGCTCCTCAGTCAACCCCTGGAGTCCTCCAGCAGATCAGTGGGTTAGCTCTCTAGACCTCCTCTTTTTCTTTACAAGGTCTGAGTCCAGCTCCACTGATGGCCACAGGAGTCCTTAGCTCTGGACTCAGAGAGCATTTTCTCATGTGTCTGCACAGATTCGAGATCCACACTCTCCGGAGACCTGTAACCTTCTTGCCCTTGCAATTCTGACGTGAGATTTGGGGATTTCTTAGAGCCACACGTGAAAATCTCCAGGCACACAGTGAGACAGGGGTTGCTTTTAGCTGCATGAAGCAGGAGGATAACAGCAAACACAGCAAAGACAACGGTCCCTCACACGTTCATTTGCAATTAGGGCTTGCTTGCCCTGCAAGAAGCACTTGGTTTTATCTGCTGTCGCTTTCCCCACTGTCTTGCAAAGAGGAATCTGCAGTTGTAGGCAGGCCTGGTCTTGACCTACTCACTCCAAGACCTCAAACCACCTCATCTTCAGTCCTTGCTGATATTCCTGTGAGTCAGCCCTGTGCTCTTAGACTTGCATACCACAGTGCTTTCAGCGCCAATGTCACAAGCAGTAGAAATGCATGGGGCTTTGGGGCGGGATTTGCACATTTGCCAGTGTAAATGAGGTCCCTTTTGTTTCTAAATGACAATGGAAAAAAATTAAAAAGCCAGAAAAAGCCTCAAGCAATTGGTGATTTAAAGAAACTCTATAATTAACTGAACTTCTATGAAATAGGAAGGCCCGGAAACCAGAAGTTTAATCTGTCATTCTATCCCACAAGGAGAATTGGGAAGAACTTATGTGGTCTGTTTAATGGTAGCTTCTGACCTAACAGTTTTTATCTCTCAGCAGTAGCTGCCTGGGACTCAGCAAGACGAGCAATTAAAAAACAGTAATTCAAGAAAGCAGGAGAATACCTGGTAGCCCAGGGAGCATCTTACCTGCCTGTTAAAGTCCAGCCCATTCTGTTCACTTCCTACAATGAAACAAAAAGAAAAATATCTTAGTATTAATGACAGTCAGCATTGACGTAAACTTTTGAGAACTTAGAACACACATAACCAAAGGCACGCTGCTAGCCCAGCTCAGTTTACTGTAACAGCAAGGAGAGGAGGAGGAAGGTGGAGTCAATGCGAATGCAGCGATGGAAGTACAAAGGCAGCTTTTCCGACATTTGGTGGTATAAGCCTTTGCTGAAGTGTAACAGAAGTGCTTCTGCCTGGGAGATATCTGGCCAAGCAGCAAGGGTGGGGGAAAGCTCACTGACTGCAAGGGAGATTCCAGGAGAGGTGAGCTGGAGGACGTTACAAATCTCCAGGGAAATCCAGGACCAAGGCACTGTACATAAAGTAAGAACTAACTGTGGGAGAGGCTAGCAAACAGGTGGCCGAGGCTGTTAACCAGGGATCTTCAGGAACCCGTGTGGCACTGAGTAATTATGGGATATCTAAAGGAACGGAGGGTGCCGTGGGGTTGTGCTCAAGAGGCGTCTCCTTGATTCCAAAAGAGATTGGCAGGCACAGGGGGAAAAATCAGACAGGTTTCAGCCTGAAGGTACCGCACAGGCCCTCACTCATTCCCCTTTGATGATAAACATTCCCCCCCCATCACACCTGCCAAATTCATCAAGAACATCACAGAGGAAAGGTTGTACGCTCCACAGATATGAATGCTTTAAGGGATTCCACGAAGCCTCTTTAGTTGCAAAGGCAACCCCAAGAAACCCCTTCCCTTCGCAATCCATTCCCCAAGTCATTCTCTTCCAGTCCGACTGAGTTTGTGATAAATAGTCTTAAATTGTTCACATCCCACCGGCACAAGCCCCCAGGGCCTCGTCCTCCTGTTTTTTTCCAGTATAACATTCCCCATAAAGCATAGCCCGTGCCCTGTGATCTGATCAAGCTTCAACACATCATGTTTTTCAGTAGTTCATGTCTTTCTTGCAAAAAGTTGGAAAGCGGTTGAGGGAGGCTGTGCAGGCAGGAGTGCAAATCCAACTCTCCCATTGACTTGCTTTCAACTGAACAAGCCTTGACCCTACTCTAGCACGCAGTTTTTCAGCTTGCACCATACACATAATATTTCCAGGTGAATCAGCATGGTTCTTTGAGATCCTTGGGGGGAGTGTGCTTGGTACAATTACTCATAGATGGCAAAATATTTTAAAGTCAATGATAACAATTTCATGGCACCCTGTTCTCTGCTATCTAGAAACAGCTCTGGAGATTTAATCTGCAACATGTTAACAGCATTGACTGTGGAAACTGAGCTGCCTTTGTTGCTCGTGTTAGGCTGAGCTGTAGGTCTTCGCTATCAAACAATACCAGAGTACTATTTCACAGCAGAACAAGCTGTTGCCCCCCCCGCTCTGAAATCTCCTCTGTCTTCTCACTGTCTGCAACTCAACCTAGATCCAGCTCTGCACCTTCTCCCCCCACCTGTCTGCATTTCTGCTGGGCTAGAGTCTGCCCTCGCTTCCTGTCTTCCTCCTGACCTGCTTCTCAAAGCTTTTTCTCTTCCCAATCTCAGGTCTTTATCTTCTTCCATGTAATTCCCTACTCTACTACAGCTTCCAATTTGCCACGCGCTTCTGTGCTCCCGTGCCTCTCGTTGTAACCATCTGCTCCCTGACCACCTCGCTCCAGCTGCTCCCGCCCAAGGAATTTGTTCATTCATTGCGTTCCAGCTCTATGCCCCAAGAGCCAACAACTGCACATATAATGATGGGAATGTTGATAGTGTTAATAGATGATCACAATCAGTATCCACACACCTGAGCAGAACTGTGTGAGGATCTTCAAGGCCTGCAGTTTCTACCTTTGAAACCCATGGGGAGTTGATGCAATCTAAAGGCAGTAGCTAAAGGGAAGAAAGGCAAGGAGGAGAGAAGGAGGAAATAAAGTTCCCAGTTGCTAAAATAGAACAGGAAGGAAAAGGTAATCTTCTGGTTTCTCGGATACAAGAGTTTCCATGCATGCAGCATGTTGATGAGGCAAGATTCAAAGACCTTGAGGGAAAACCCTAGGTCCCAGTGATGATGGCTCTGAGTCACTATCCTACACCCCAAAACTTGGAACTCGAGATGCACAGCTGGAACGGAGTTTACTTCCACATCACTACCACGAGGCCCAAGTTCTCCAGCACATTCTTTCCTCCTCTTCTAAGCTTCCCATCTCTCACTTTTTCCTCCCTGCACAAGCATGTGCAGCTGACAGACTTCTACCTTTCTTTTTCCCTTCCTCTCCTACAAGGTCAGACACAGCTTCCTCCAAGTCCTACCCTCTTGCACATCCCTCCGCAGATCAACAGGGGTGTTCGGGAGCACCTCAGCCAGGTATTTTGTGACAGTGGAGCATGTTGCAAATATGCACGGAGATTGACATTAACTCAGTTGTAGCTTGGGCGTCTAAATCTGAGATAACTGCCCCAGGCTGTCTTGATAGACAGCGAGGAGAAATAGGCACCTCCAGAGGCCATTCACCTGACCTATCTTAGACGCCTATCTCAAGTTGAGATGAATGGCCCTCTGGAGATGACTATTTCTCTTTATTGCCTACAAAGGGACCCAGGGGCAACTAGTTCAGACTTAGATGTCCAACAGTGAGATATTTAAAACTGGGCAAGGTGATTTCTACTCCCAGTGGTTATGTAAATGGGAGCTGGATACACAAATCTCTTCAAA